CAAGTGCTCATTATTTTAGCAAAAATGTGTTTTAAAACCAATTTTCAGCCTTTAAATATAGTAAAAAATAATTGCAGGGGTTATTAGAGTGCATTCATGCACTGTTCATCCGTCGTCTGAGTTCTTCCAACGAAGCAGGTTCAGTCTTATAAATCTTGCTCTTTAAGTAACCCCATAAAAATAAATCTAGTGGATTTAAACCAGGGGACCTCTGGCTATTCAATAACGACTCTTTTGCCAATCCATTGCATTGGAAAACGTTCATTGGTGTATTGCCTTACGATTCTGCTATAATGTGGGAGTGCGCCATCTTCTAAGTAGCTGTTATCATTATCAATAACATCTGCCAAAATGGGATCAATAGTTTCCTTTAATAATTATGATATGATTCTTCATTGAAATATTATGGAAAAAAGAGTGGCCCAATAGTACGAACCTTAAAAATTCCCAACCATAAGTTTAATTTCATAGGCAGCTGGGTATGTGTTTCGTGAAATACTCTAGGATTTTCGTCAGCCCAGTAACGGCAATTATATCGATTTACATTATTATTTACAAAAAAGGAACATTCATGAAAAAAAAAAAATAAACAAAAAATTTGCATTGTTACTCATAATTTTACAAAACTGTAGTTGCCTGTCTGAATGATCTTCATACTTCATACTGATCTCTCTTGACGCTGATCGACTATAAGGAGAGCAGTATCATCCGCGAATACAGCAGAGTTGGCAAGTCATTACTGTAGAGTCAGTAGAATGGATCTAAGAACACTTCCTTGAGGCACTCCACTTCTAATTTCTTTTAAAATACAATATCCTTCTTGTTTTGGGAGCATTTTTTAGTGTTTCTTTAATATTGATATGACATTCAGGAACACCCTGTGTATCTAGCAATATTCTTAATGTCGCAATATCAATTTCAAAAATCCACGATTATTTTTTCTTTTAGAACTTATTCAAAAATTTCTCTATGCCCTATACCCACTAACATAATACTTTCCTCTAAATCTTGAAAATATCATAGCCTTTTCAAGAAACTGGAAGTAAGCCCGAATATTCCATTCACTCTATTTCGGCTTATCTTTATTTAAATACCGCATATTTTCCACTCAAACTTTGCAAAAGCGATATTTCCTTGATTTTCCGAACCATTTCCCGGTGCGATATACAACCGCATTAATTTAAAAAATATTCAGTACGTGAAAATGTGGGCCAGTAATTCCTAATTCCGGTCTGATTTATGACATTATCCTAGTTCATGTAAAATTTAATAACGACCATGGCGGTAATTTGAAAGTCCAGACGCGAAGCTTTAGAATCGAATATATCGAGATGGGGATGAAGTGCAGCAGGCCGGGCGAGCTTGGATGTACTGGCAATAAATTTGTAAACAGGACCAAACTTGCATCGCACATTAAGGCCAAAAGGTTAAAAACCCTAAAATAGAACATTAATCAGAGTTCTTTTTTTTTTTGAGAGTTAGTGATGGACCAAAGTTTTATCTACGGTTGCCCGTAAATCCGCTCTTTAATCAGCAACCATACATTTTACTGAAATATTTGAATTTGCTGAACATAAAACACTCATTTATAGGAATTTCAACTTGGTAATCTATTGAAAACTTTTTATCTCAAATACGTTATTTTATATTAATAATATTACCATAATGTTCGTGTAAAGACGTGTATTATCATATTTTAGAATTACTTTTTCACTAAATTAGATCGAGATTCTTAAATATCTATTTTTCTTAATCTTCTAAAACATTTATTATCTTTTTATTTTAAATAAAATAATTAAACAGTGGATTTTATATACTTTAGTAACGAGTCATCAAGAAAAATCATAATTGGCGTTTGCTGTGAAATTTAACTGTTTTGGGTTAGTTCTTTAGCCACTTCCAGAGAATGACATTTTTCTTAACATTGAAACAGAACGTTTGTATCAAATTTGTAAAAACTTTATCAAGACAATTTCCAACTTAATTTGCACCTATCTTGGTCGTATTTATCTAGGTATTTTTGAAGTTTCTAGAAGCTACTCTCGTTCAAACAATTAAATACCGGGACCGGGAGTGCTGACATATCTGTGAAATATGTGGAGACATGTAACAGTGCTATCAAGATAGAATAAAGTAGAAACGACATGAACCTAATTTTGTGATATGACAAATGGGCGCAATTTGCTATGCTAAGAGTGATGGAAGAGTACTGACCTTAAAGCATATAAGATAAGACTATGAAGACTAAAGATAAATACGGTCCCAAAAAACCACGCTATCCAAAGAGCTCAGATAGTGACACATCATATGTTGAGTGCTTATATTGTAGTATAGATACTGGTATTCCCAATCAAACGAAGGATGTAGATCATGTAAACAATGGGCTCACTGTTCTTATGCTGGTGAGAACGATAACGACGAAGAATCCAATCATACTTTAGAATAGGGAATACAACTGGGAAATCTTGACATTAGGCCAGGTCACATGAGTATCTCAAGGTTAGTGATTAGAGACGTGCTAGACATGAGGTCAGATCACATAACCAAGAGGTACTCTTTTAATACTTCATTTGAGGTTTTAATACAGGAAAGAGCGAAGATCACCATAAGGGAGCTCAATGCCCAACTATAGGAACAAACCTGGTATACAGACGGGTCTAAGACTGCGGAAGGCACTGGGGCGGGAGTATTCTCCAAAAACCCTGATACTAACCATAGCTATGCTATGGGAATACATTCCTCGGTATTTCAGACCGAGGTATACGCAATTTTGCAATGTGCAAAAACGAACAATGAAAAAGCTGTCGAAAATCAGCATATTTATTAAATCTCGAACAGTCAAGCGGCACTTAAGACCATATCAGATAGTTACGTCGAGGCTGGTATGGGAATGCATCGAAGAACTAAGGACACTGGCAGACCGAAATAGAGTAAAACTATTTTGGGTGCTAGGTCACCAAGGGATCGAAGGCAACGAATAGGCTGACGAACTTGCAAAAAAAGGATAAGAAGAAACACCGGAACCAGACACAAACCCAGGAGTACCAAAAAGTATAGTCCAAGGTTTTATAAACGAATGTATTCGGGAACAACATATTAACTATTGGGGAAGCACCCCAAAACAGGCACATAGAAAAGCCTTCATAGGCATACCATGTCCCAGAAGAACTGGAGAACTACTCTTTATGAATAGGAACCAGTTGAAAGTGATAGCAGGGTTCATGACTGGGCACGCCCCAGTAAAGGGACACTTGAACAAAATTGGCATCTACAATGGGGAACAGAACCTAAATTTGAAAAACCTTATTTTTAGTTTTTTTCTACTCCATCTAATCAATAAATGTTGTTGACGTCTTACTTTCTCATAAAACACTGTACAAACACACACATTTTTAAAAAAACATTTCTCAAAAATTTGCACGGTAAGGTATAGTTAAAAGTTCACTATTAGATAAATAAGGACATATTCTATTAGAAAAAAATTAATTTTAGTCATAATCTAATATTTTTTATTTAACATTGGTGGCGAAAGGCCCTCCTTAAGTCAAACTTACATTTAATAATAATAATATAATAATAATAATAATAATACTCTCCCTAATTCACCCCCTTACGAGTGAATTTCAACCCCTGAAGTCGACTGAAAGACTTGTGTAGGGGAGAAGGGACGGCTATTATTATTATTTGCCGTGGCGCTCTGGGGCGACTTAAAGATGATTGATGGTGCCATTTGACTTACAGGTGAGGAAAACCCGGAAAACCTCACCCACCATCATCGAGACGGTAATGTAAGGCGAATTTTTTTAATCTGCATGTCATATCAACAGAAATTGAATTTCTATTAATACGCCACACATCAAATCCTAAACAGAACCATGCAATTTAATCCTCATGGTCTGGTCTGAGATTCGAAACCCAGCAGTCTCAGACTCATAAACTTACCTATAAATGAATATAAGCGCGATAGACCGCTACACCACCGTCCCGATTTAATTAAATATAATAAATATTTTCTCTTTTGGCTTTCATCTTTGCTATTAATAAGATTAAAATCATAAATAAATACAGAAACTAACTACCTGCAGAACATTTCAGAGTTTGTAACCAATAAGCGCTCCTTATGGAGTGTTTAAAGAAAAATGTAAACATGTACATGACATGTACGTAGTTTCCCAGCTGAATAGTCGACTGTCTAACAGCAAAAAAGTATCGATATTAGTCCATGGCGCGCCCGACAGATAGTGACATCGTCTTAGTTTTTGTTAATTATCTATCTTATTATTCTGTTTAAATTATGATTTGATAACCATTAGAATCCTTAAAATTTTACGAAAGTTTACATAATTTTTAAAATTTTAACAATATATGCCAAACAGGATACAAGGCGCGCCCGACAGATAGTGACATCGTCTTAGTTTTTGTTAATTATCTATCTTATTATTCTGTTTAAATTATGATTTGATAACCATTAGAATCCTTAAAATTTTACGAAAGTTTACATAATTTTTAAAATTTTAACAATATATGCCAAACAGGATACAAGAAAACATCTTCATTTTTTTAATATGATTTTTATTTTTGAAACAAATTAAAGTTTTCTTATGTGAATTTCTTACTTATTCACATGACGAGTTTTGAAATACCTATGTCATTTAAAACTGGAAAAAACTACTATAATTTCCGCTACACAAACAATTTTATGTGAACGGATTGATATAAACGAGTGCGAACAAAAATATTCTAATATTTAACCTTTTATCGTTTTTAGATCTAAAAATAACTAGAAGTAACTAAATCTAAATTTAAATATCACCTCTTGCATAATTTAACAATTTTTTGCACCTGTACTTAAACGTCCTTGATAAAAATTATCAATATTTCCATGAAATGTTTACGAATGCACTTATTAAAATGATATATTCTGATGAAATTCTTTTAACAAACTCGCCTTGGTACATCCTTATATAAAATAATTTTTTCCACAAAACCATTTGAATCACCGCTCATTGCTTGCAGTTTACAGAAAATCTTTTATAATGACATAAAGTCAACAATGTTAACATAAATTAGTTACTATCTGTTTAGAATATAAACAAACAGAATTTCCAGCTCGTCCAAAACATCATATATAGCAAATGGATTTTACAATTAGCGCTTTATTGAATAACGATATCAGCCAAAGTACATGATTATTTTAATTTTTGATAATATTGATAAAAGATAATGGCATTTCGCCACAATTTTATTTACTGTTCATTTTTAGTTTGATGAGTTGATCGTAGAATTCCGTATTTTTGGTGAAAAATGGAAAATGGTCATGTGGAAGTATCTTATGCAAATGAAAGGTGAGTAATTTTTTTTATTGCTATTCATATAGTAGGCTGGTGTTTAAATAATCAGGTAAAAATTCGTATACAGGGTATAACTCACTCAACGGGACGGAGCTTGGAGGGTGTTGTCCCATTGTAGCCCGCAAAAATATTTTTTTTGAAATATTAGTCGCGTTCTTTTTACCACTAATCTGAGCTAACTTACATCGACTGAGCTTAGTTGTACGTTCTTCTTGTAATTGTAAGTCAGAATCTTTATTCCCCCCTTACCGGCCTTACCGATGCTAAGGTACACGGATCTTGATGTCAACCATAAACCATAACAGAAAGTGAGTGTTCTCTGCATCATACGAACAAACATGTCCTATGAAGTCATTATTTTAGAGAGATTAAAAGACTATGATAACATGGGGCAAGATAGTAGTATTGAATGTTGATGAAATTATAAAATGTGATGGGACGCGTCGCCTGTCAACTAAAATTCGTGTTCTCTTTACTTTACTTAGCTTAGATCAGAATCTTACTTTTAGTTAGTCAAATATACCTGTAAAAAGAAAACGACTATTGTCTCTCCTAATGATGCCGCCACCAATTTAATCATTGTTCTTGATATTCAAAACTAATACTTTGAGCACATGCTTGATTCTACCAATTCTGAATGTTTACCACAAACGCAACCATTCCAGGTACAAATTAAGCAGTTCAGAACCAATAACGAATGGAATTATTTTTACCGCGAATGCAGAATTAGAACCAAGAGTTTAAATTTAACTACTGCGCATGCCAATCGTTACTACTAATATTCCAAATTTCATAATTGTTCTTTAATGCTAGTAGACAAAATTTTGATAAATAAAAATGTTCCTATCTTTATTATGGGATTCTGTGAAATGTGTTGAAAGTTCGTAGGAAAAGAAGCTAATTGTTTTTGAAGGTTACAAATACTACTTGGGACGTTCTAACAAAAACTACAGCAATAATTAGAAGTGTACTAAATTTAAATCCAGGAAAGACTGTAGAGACAGTATTACTACTACCACCCCAGCATAAGTATTCTAGCAGTAATGTCACTCTCTAGGCGGGAAAAAGACGCGCCGTTATTACTGCGATGACGTGTTTGGGATATAATCTATCACTTGTCATAAATCCGGTTTAAAAACTCGCTACCATGCGCAGGCAACCCAAATACAAACTTTTTATCTAATTAGTTTTTGTAATATATTCACAGCTCAAAAACGGAAAATTTGGTATTTTAATAGTGGCTTTAGATCAAAAATATCACAAATATACTGTTTTACAGTGTGTGTTTTATTCTTAGTGTTACGTATTATTGCTCGTTTTATTTAAGGACCTTGGAATAAATAGAGTACTAGAATTAATCAAACTTAAAAGGTGTGTTATATATATATATATATATATATATATATATATATATATATCTACAAAGTATTACTGAGCCTCCCCCCATGTTAAATTTCAGGTTCACTGAGACTCCGCTGTTACTGGGCTTCCGATATACGGATCCCCAGTGACAACCCATTGAAAATTGTTCCAGATGATGTAGACACCCTAAAACACCCATTAACACAAAAATCTCGAGGACGCCCATTTGAGCCGTTTTTTGATCCTGTATAAAATATTAGTTCAGGCGTTCGCCGCTTGGTGCGCTGCTAATATACATTTCGCTGTGTATAAGATGTTTAATGTTACATGTCAACTGGGCGCCTTAAGCTATTCGCTGCGCGCTTTTGGTTTGGCAACGTTGCAGTTGATTATATATACGTACTTGGAGGCTCGCTGATTTTGTCTTTCGACTCGAGTCATTTTAAAAATTAAAATGTATCAATTTCGATCTTGAACGCGACAAGTACTACAGAGCGCCGTAGAAAATAAAATGCCTCAATAAACATTTTTGTTTTAGAAAATGTTTAATAATTTTTTGGTTGATATTATTTAAATAATAAGGTTAGCACCTTGATTAGTACGTATATTTAGGCATTATTATAAAAGTAAATAAAAAGAAAATTCCAACTCAAATGTGATATATGACCAAGACGTAAAATAAAATAAGTAAACTTTTTATTTTAATTTAGTTTATTTTCTCATAATTCAATATTGGGATCTGAAGATAAGCGATACGCCGTTTACTGTGAACTAAAAGTTATGGAATTTGACACTTGACCGTCTGTGTTCTGTCAAGTTTTGTTTATCAGGTCATCATGTCAATAAATGTTATTTTAAAATTGAACAAGTATTTTGTTTGAAATATCTTATTTAATAATAAGCTAATGCTTTAAATTTTTATCATATATATTAAAATATTATATTATTTGAACTATAAGTGGAATATCAGTGAAAAACACACTTGTTGGGTGCCTTCATGCAGCCCTAAAAAAATGGACCTTCTTTTACATTTCATCTGCTTCCTAAAGTTGATAAATGTAGGGTAATTTTTATAAAATGCAAGTGGAAATTCTGCAAGAAATGCATGGTTACAAAAGTTGAAAATTGAGAAGCATTTTAAAGATGATTGGCCTAGAGGTAATATAGATTTATTTTTCGATTGAATGTTTTTATTTTACCTTTTTTTGTGTTTTAGATGCCTCATTCAAAGTGAAAATAAATATAAAAAAAACGCTGTGTCTTCATGCCAGTTTTTAAGTAAAAATGTTTGACGATTCTGTTCGATAAACTTCAAAATCAAATATTGAGAGAACAGAAAGAAGATCCAAACCACAGAATAAAGATTTTATGTCCAAACTAAAAAAAGTTCAATCAGTGTTAAATGTGATAGTGAGAATAAACAAAGTCATAGTTGAGAGAGATTTGTTTCAAGATAACCTAGCTACTCACGCCAAACAAGACATAGAGGTTGCAAATACTCTTTTTCAAGTGAATTGCCATTAGTGACAAGTGCGCATACCCCAAAAATTAAAACAATTTCAGATCTTTTAAAATCTGACAAAGAGTTGTGTTCATTCACTGGTATTAACAACTTTAACATACTGCACTAGAAAATACAGTCAAATCAGCTTGAAGTACTTTGGAAGATGGCCTATTGGGTATTGTAACTCAATAAAGAACATTTATTATTATGTAACTATTGGCATATTTTGTTAACAGGAAAAATAAAAAAATATTTGATTTTTATATTTATTGCTTATAATAATAGCCCTTTTACCAACAGAATCAACTCGACCCATGCAACGAAGACTCATTTTTAAGAGTTTTTAGTTGCCGTTATTCAGCACATATATTTGCCAAAAGCTTTGATCTAAATAAGTATTGTATATCTAAACGAAGAGGTTAAGCAACCAGAAATACTACCATCAAATATAGTAAATCATTTTAGGCCAAAAAATACTTTGAATACTATATTATCTTAGATTTTCTCAAAACTAGAAATAATGAGTTACTATAGTCTTCGTTGCATGTGTCAAACTATTCCATTACAGAATAATATAAAAATGTACAATCACTCATTAGAAAATGTAACTGTACACGATGACTAGTAAACTTAAGAATAAAAATAATTATTAAAAAGAGTATTCTCTCAAGTACAAAATCAATCATAAATTTCAAGCTGTACATTTTCATTTATTGTATTAAAGAAGAGATCACATGAATTACTTATGTTATTAATATAATAATTTATTCACACAATATCCAAACATTACAAACATCAGTGTGTTAAAAAGGTAAGAATAAGAACACTTGCGAAGTGTTATACAATTGTTTGTAAGATAATAAGTAACATAGATTAAATAATATATTATAAAAGTATTAAGACTAAAAACTAGTACAAATTAAAATTATGACTAAGTAAATTTTACCTCAAAACTAACAAACAAAAAAATAGTACCTACTTGTGTTAATAGATGATTTTAAAAGGGCAGATATGTTTTAAAACATCTTGTTAAATAAAATTATGGAACATTGAAATAATAAGATTATCAAATAGTTTATGCAAACAAAAGTGAGCCATAAAAATATTCTGCTTCTGTACCAAGGACACATATTTTTTTAATAATCATAAACTGATTTTAGATTTATTTGAAAATATAAAAGAATATCTTGTGTAGTGCCATTATTTATCGATTCTTCATAATAATCATTTGTAATTTATATTTAATCTCAATAACTAAAAACTATGCTGATAATTAGTTTGACAGAATTGTTACTCATTTAAAATTTAAAAAAAAAATGGTATCCTGGTGACCAAATATGAACTGTGATTGGTGGATTTCATATCTGTACAGTGTTCTTCATAGAATGGATAAATATATTCGTTCAATGGCCACTTTTTCGTTCTTTAATCAGTGCGTAAAATAAATAATATACATGTGGGTGTAGAACAAAAGCAAAAGGTATTCGATCGAATTAGCTTGATAGTTCTTTTATTATTTGAAACAGTATACACCTAGAACACTTTAAGACTCCTGAAATATGTTTGCACTGTCCACTGTTCCCAGCTTAAAACAAACACTGCCATTCGAACATCTTGTGAATGAGCACTGGCCTACAACGATATGGGGATCTGAATTCAAAGCACTAGTTTGGAGAACAACTGCAAAAACGTGTTTATCACTAAATTCATTCTTTCCACATAAAAACTATGTGGCCCACATTTAAAATAGCCTGTTCTTTAATAACAGTCCTGGAATTTTCACCTGCATCAATATACTTCATAAGTTCTATTAAACTTAGCCTTATTTCAGACGTCTCACTAAAAATAAAATAAATATATTAATATTTTATTAAAAGATTACACAAATATATCTCAAATTAACATAAATGAATGAATGCAACTTAAAAACAAAATTAATAGGGGGTTGGTTACTTACCAAATAAAAATATATTCTACTTTAACCTAAAAACTATTGAAATAAAAGTGTCTAATCACTAAAAATTAACAACAATATGTTTTTCCTCGTGTTTTCCTTAAAATAGAACAATATAAACTAAATACTTTTTATGGGTTGTTTGTTTACAAACTCAAAAATGTAAACAATAAC